GGCCTGAAGGATGAGAAGCTGCAACGACGCCTCTACGCTAAGAAGAACCTAACGTTCCAGGTCGCTCTGGAGGAGGCCCTGGCAACGGAAGCTGCCGAGAGGTCGACGCAAGAGGCACGGCCGAGCCAGCCATCCCAACCGAGGGTCCACCATGAAGACCTCACCGACGACTCAGGATCCAACAGGGAGGAGGTGCACCGAGTACAGCAGCACACTCAAGCAGCCCACATACCACAGCTGCCTCGACGAGAAGGAGGGAACTGCGCAAGCTGTGGAGAAAGTCACGAGAGGAGGACCTGCCGTTTCCGCAACGCGGAGTGCAGGCAGTGCAGAAAGTTGGGACACATCGCCCGGGTGTGTCGGGCTCGGCCCACCCGACGCCAGGCATCAGATGACCAATCCAAGAGCCCCAGGTCCCGGGGCCCAACGCACCAAGGCAACTCGACGGAGCTCACGGACTTCCAGGTATACCAGTTGCCCCACCCCAACGTAGAGAAAATTTATGTAGAGGTACAGATAGAGGGGGCCCCATGCCGCATGGAGCTTGACACGGGTTCAACTCTATCCATAATCTCGGCAAGGACCTTAAGGAAACTGTGTCCTACTGGGGGTCCCAAACTCAGGCCGGCCCCATTCACCCTCCGGGACTTCCAGAAACGTAAGGTCCCCACCATGGGGGTGGGGACCTTCAGGGTGCAATACCGAGGGCGGACGCGGCGACTGGACTTGCTTGTGGTCAAGGGCCCCTACATTAGCTTACTGGGATTGGCATGGTTTGGACCACTGGGGCTAGCCGTCACCGGGGTGAACCACACGAGCTTACAAGTGGACGTGGACGCCATATGCAAGGAATTTCCGGGGGTTTTTGATGGGAAATTGGGACAGTATACGGGGCCCCCCATTGCTCTACAGCTTGACCCCGCAGTACGACCGGTCAGGCTCAAGGCCCGCCGGGTCCCGTTCGCCCTGAAACCCCGTATAGACGAGGAATTGGACCGACTCGTGGAGCAAGGAGTGCTGGAGCCGGTGCCTAATGCCCCCTGGGAAACCCCAATTGTCACACCCGTCAAGCCTAATGGTTCGGTCCGCATCTGCGCAGACTACAAATGTACCATAAACAAGGCCCTCACGGCCCATGCATACCCAGTGCCAGTGGTCAGCCATGTCCTTGCCACCCTGGCTGGGTCGAAAATTTTTGGCAAGCTGGACTTGGCCCAAGCATATCAACAGCTGCCAGTTGATGAGGCCACAGCAGAGGCACAGACGATTGTGACGCACAGAGGAGCGTTCAGGGTAAAGCGGCTGCAATTCGGTGTCAGCGTGGCACCAGGCATATTCCAGAATCTAATGGACTCGCTCCTTAAAGGGATTCCTGGCGTCACCCCCTTCTTCGATGATGTGTTGATTGCCGGGCCCACACCAGAGGAGTTTGAGGACCGCCTCCGCACTGTTCTGCACCGTTTCCAGACAGCGGGTCTCAAGGTGAAGCGGGAAAAATGTCTACTAGGAGTGCCTCAGGTGGACTTTCTGGGATTTATGGTGGACGCAGAAGGGGTCCACCCAACTGGGGACAAGGTACGGGCCATTTGTGATGCCCCAGCGCCCAAGAACAAGACTGAACTTCAGGCCTTCTTGGGACTATTGAACTTTTACCATTCCTTCCTTCCCCACAAGGCGGCGGTAGCGGAGCCCCTACACAGACTCCTGGACAAGCGGGCCCCTTGGGTGTGGGGCCAGCGCCAGGAGGCCGCATTCCAGGCAGTCAAGGACTTGCTTGTCTCAAACTCGGTCTTGGCACACTTCGACGAGAGGCTGCCAGTGGTGCTAGCATGCGACGCCTCGCCCTATGGCATTGGCGCTGTCCTGGGACACCAACTCCCGGATGGAAGAGAGGTACCGGTGGCATACTTTTCCCAGACACTCAATGCAACCGAGCGGAACTACTCGCAAATCGACAAGGAGGGTCTGGCAATCGTGAAGGGAGTAAAAAAATTCCATGATTTCTTGTACGGGCGGCCCTTTACTGTGGTGACTGACCACAAGCCGTTGCTTGGCTTGTTTGCCCCCGAAAAGCAGACCCCCCAAGTGCTGTCTCCTCGCGTCCTCAGGTGGTCAATTTTCCTTGCCAGCTACCAGTATGCACTGATTCACCGTCCGGGGAAGGCGATGGGCCATGCGGACGCCCTCAGCAGGCTACCACTACCGGAAACAGGCCCCGACCCAGCACCTGCACAAGAGGTTATGAGCCTGGAGCTGCTTCCCGACCGCCCCATTCAGGCACAAGAAGTTGCAGACCATTCCAAGAAAGATAGGGTCATCTCCCGGGTCCTGGACTGGGTGTGGAGGGGATGGCCCAGCAGCAGCCCCGGGCCAGAATTCGCTGGCTACACAACCCGCAAACATGAACTGTCGGCCCACAAGGGGTGCCTGTTATGGGGAAGCAGGGTCGTTGTTCCCCAGCCCCTCCGCAAAAGGGTCCTCACAGCCCTACACGAGACACACCCAGGGGTAGTAAGAATGAAGGCCCTTGCCAGGAGTTATGTGTGGTGGCCGGGGATCGACGGAGAGATAGAGGCCTGGGTCAAACACTGCCAGGCCTGCCAAGAATCCCGCCCAGATCCCCCAAGGGCCCCAGTCCAGTCCTGGGAGTCCGCCCGAGCACCATGGTCACGCCTGCATGTGGACTTCGCTGGCCCCTTTCAGGGGAAAACATTCTTCATAGTGGTGGACTCCTACACCAAATGGCTGGAAGTCGCACTGGTACCGTCCACTTCTACGTCCGCAGCCATCCGGGTACTACGCAGGCTGTTTGCAACCCACGGGCTCCCTGACACTCTCGTCTCAGACAACGGGACTGCATTTACGTCAGGAGAATTCCAAACCTTTACAGCGCAGAACGCCATCCGCCACATCCGTTCGGCGCCATTCCACCCTGCCACCAATGGCCAAGCAGAACGCATGGTGCGGACCACCAAGGACACCCTTCGCCGCATGACGCAAGGGGATTGGGAGTACCGCCTTGCCACATTCCTTCTAGCACAGCACAGCACCCCCAGCTCAACGACTGGCCGGAGCCCCGCTGAACTACTAATGGGTCGGCGCCTTGCAATCAGATTGGACCGCCTTCACCCCGATAGAGCTCAGGATGAGGTAGTGGTGGGGGAAGGCAGGAACCCCCGGACCTTCGAGGCCCAGGACCCAGTGTACGCAAAGAATTTTGGGGCAGGCCCTGCATGGGTACCCGCCACAGTCACCAGGGTCACTGGCCCCGTGTCGTACGAGGTGCTAACAGATGGGGGGCAATGCTGGCGCCGCCACTGCGACCAGATACGGCGACGATTCCCGGGAGAAAACCAGGAGGAGGGACAGGTCAGAGGAGTCCCAAGGGAACAGTGGGGCAGTGAGGCCCATAGAGCAGCAGGGGCAAGTAGGAGAGGCAGAATCAGTAAATACAGAGAGGACCCGTGAGGCCGAAAGGACACCGGAGCCAGAACCACGACTGAGCGAGCCGCTTGCGCCAGACCAAACAGCCCCATCACAGCCAGCATCCTTGGAACACGAGCCAGAACCTGAACCCCGGACCAGGGAACACCCCAGGCCGCAACGCACACGTAGGCCACCGGCGTACCTTGAGGACTATGAATGCGACCTCCCGGGCAGGACTGGAACTTAGAGGGGAGGGGTGTTATGTACTGAGTTGAATAGGATCCAAACTGCAGCAGTCTGATTGGTCCTAGAACAATAGGATCCAAAAGGCAGCAGTCTGATTGGTCCTAGAACAATAGGATTCAGAATGCAGCAGTCTGATTGGTCCTAGAACAATGCAGCAGTATGATTGGTTGGCAGGAACCACCCAATCATGCTCCAGATAGAAGTGAATCCACAACCTGATTGGCTTACAGTAGAATTCCGGAATTAGCCAATCATGTGCAGCCCATTGTGTAAATAATGTATATAAAGCAGATACTCTGAGGGGACATTCATTCATTCCTCCTCACCACTATGAGCTGAATAAAGAGCATGAAATCACTTTGCGACTCTGAGTATATTTCATAATAATACCCCACCCATCTGGCTGTTTCCCTAGCTACTTTGGGTGGCTCCCAACAGAATATTAAAAACCCAATAAAACATCAAACATTAAAAACTTCCCTAAGAAGTTACTAAGCATTTAACCGTGCCCACCTTTCAGTTCAATGAAGCCCACTACAGAAATAGCATACCTCAATATTATCTTAAAACATACTGCTTTGCTAAGTGAATGCCTGCAAAGAGATCACATTCTGTCTTGCTGCACATCTCTGTGATGAAACAGAATCGCCTTCTTCAAGCACTTCTGCTTAAGAGATCTTCACTGTGCTCGAGTCCTTTGTTTCCCTCCTGCTTCAGCAGTACAGTACTCCATACATTCCTTTGAAATAATTCCCTCACTAGGTTCGTCACACAGCCTGAACCTGCTTGAGTACTGCTGGAAGTAAGCCCCACTGAGTTCAATGCAATAAGCTTGCAGCCTTGGTTCAGAACTTGTGGTCCCTGTCATATTTCCAGTAGTTTGTTTTACATTTCACTTCTATCTGTAAACTACTGATAAACGTTTATTTCATACAGGCATCTGAAACATTGTGAGCTACTGCACAAAGAGCAACTGCAGACATTAAGGAAAAGCATGTTTAGCTCTATCAGAAAAAAAACTACTGGGTGCTCTGTCATTCTAAGGAGCTCACTATATTATTGAATTCACTTACTTTGGGCACAATCAATCTGAAGTTGGAAAACTTGAGCATATGTTTAACAATCAATCCCACTGAAATCAAAGGGACTTAATAATCCTGTTTAACGTCAGCTGAAATGCAACCATTATTTAATTCTGCATTCCCTACTTCCGACTGTTTACATGGAAATGGCTTTGAGAGCTGTTTTTATTAGAGTTCCAGCCGTAGTCTTAGCTCTGTGCTTCATTATTTCAAAAGATTCATTTAATTTTAGAACACATGTCCCAATCAATGTTAACACATGCTTTAAGCATTTAAGTTTATTGTCCTTTAAGCAGTTAGACACACATTTTCATTAATTCAGTTACAAATACAATGCATTTGCACACGTGAGAGATTTTAGCTTGCAAACTTCCTGACAAGTTACTGGAAAAGCTTCTTAGTGGTATGCTAAGACTGTATATCTGTAGTAAATGTTATTTTAAAATTGTAGCACAGTTCCCATAAAATTGGTGTGGTTGGTCTATTCGCAAGGATTTTGGATAACGATCAGAAGATATTCCTTATCTGTGGAAAAAGATAATAAACAATGAAAGTGGTAGCAAATGCTTACAGCTTGTTCTATTTTGGCTATTCCTTATTTTTACAATATAGATTTCAAAATAGTTCTATAAGCCAAATATTTTCATAGTTATAATGTTTTGTTGTATTTGGTGAATCCTTTTCCCAATATTGATTTTGGGGATTGATCTTGGGCAAAATAATAAAGACCACTGCTTGTGCCCACTCAGTAGACAAAATGAAACACTTCAAAAAATAATAGCAGCCATTGTTTATCAAATACCATCTTGATGTACAAACACAAGTACTAAAAGTTAAAAGCAAATCTATCCCATATTAGATTGGTGGTTTGGGAGTCATTTGTCACCAACAGTAAGTAGCTGCAGTTTTATGTGCTAACTGGCCAAATCCAGCTTTGGGAAAATGGTTGTTCCTCATACCTAGGAAATACCAGATCTAACAATTTTCTCGTCTAGTCAGGCACAGCCATCAGCTATAGTCTGGCCTTGCCACACAACATGATAGATAAATGCTGGGCCCTCTCTATTTAAGCCTGGGGCGACCAAACTTTTTTCAAAGAGGGCCAGATTTGAAGAAGTGAACATGCGTGAGGGCCGACCAAAGTTGTTGAGCCTTTTTTTAACACCAGAACATATATTGCTATGGGGGCCAGATTAAATCAACCGGTGGCTACAATGGGCCCCGAAACAAGACTTTGGACATGCCTGATTTAAGCAATTAAAGGATCTGAAGGCAAGCACATCCCTTATGGTTTTATCTTCCTAACTGAAACATGAAGACGGATGCTTAACAGCAGCATTGGAGCAATGAAAGGGACCTCAAAAGCTACCCACACAGCAGTAAGAGCAATATTTTATTTTGGAAGACAAAAATATATTACCTGGGGCAACCATGATTTCATGTTTCTTTGATCTAATTCTGAGAAAGGTCAGATCATTCTGAGGATCGATATCTCTCACTGTGCTTTTTGCTTTCATCGTGAGTTGATGGAGGAGACCTGCGTATTGTACTGTAGTTGAGTTGTCGAGAGTGGTTCTGATTGGGATGCCTGAAAAGGAAGTCATTTGCTGCTTTAGGATTAAACAGGGCAACATCAGAACCAAACTGCATCTGAGGTTAAAGACACTTCTGAAAAAGCCATTTTTACTCTGGAGAAGGAACAGCCAATCAGCAACTGTTACAGGTGAGGAGACAATTAAACCATAAATAGGAATCTGTTCCCTCCTTTTGCTGCCCTGTATCAGAGACTGGGAAGAAAAAGAAGGGACACCTAGTTGGGAAGTAAGCTGCCAGACCCTACTACATGCATTTTAATGAGATTTCAGTAACCTATGAGACAAAAGTTGTAGACCAAGATTGTCAGGCTGTAATCAAAATTACTTGGGCAAACTCTATAAAAAAGAGTTTTCAACAATCTTCTCCATGCAGCTTGATATCCACTTCTGCTTAAACTGAATAACTATTACCAATGGTTACTAGCCAAAATAGGTATGTTTTACCTCCACTGCCAGAGGAATTATGCTTTTAAATATTAGTTTCTGAGAATCACAACCAGAGTGTGTGCTATTGTACTCAGGTCCTGCTTACAAGCTTCCCACAGGCATCTAGTTGGCCACTGTGAGAACAGGATGCTAGACTAGAGGGTCATTTGCCTAATCCAGCAGGTTGCTTTTATGCCCTTACAAACCCTCCAAGTGTCCATATTTTCCAGGGCAGTCCAAGATTTTCAGAAGCCATCCCGGTTTCTGATCTGATCCCAGAATGCCCCACTTTTCCTTAGGACATCCCTATTTTCATTGGAGAAATGATGGAGGGTTTTCCCCTATGTTCATTAGGTAGAGACATCTGGAGACATCTGGAGATATATATGGTGTTGGTACTCCCCATGAAGTTGTTAAAGTAAGTGCCACACTTTTAACATTGGTGGAAAGGGAAGTGCCGGTACTGTGTACCCTTTAGTACCCCCAGAAAAAAGCACTAGTTTTATCCACTGTGTTAAAGTGGCAAAAGTAGCTTAAAAAACATAGCATTTGTGAACTTGAAGAAAATGCTGAGGCCTCACACACAAATCACAAAGTACCCATCAGCCTCTTGATATCAAATAAACTATTCACACTGATGACTTCTTCAGATTAAAAGAAACCAGTCCTCAGCTTTGAATTCAAATTGTAAATTAGAATAACCAACTTAGTTTAAAGGAGATTTCAAATAGCAAAAGAAAAATTCCAAAAAGCATCTTTTTGTACAAAGCGTTGAGAACACTCAAAAGGCAGATCTTTACCTTCTGCATTTACGACAATAGTTCCAATAACTCCTTTATGTGACTGGATCCTCTTTAAAGTTTCTTCTACCTCTGCCTGCAAAAGAAGCAAAATCACTGTAACAAAATGTGAGCACTAGCCTGTAAAATTTTGGCAGCAGCCAATATTTCTAACCAATTTGGTCTCCAGCTCCAGAACATAGGATAGTATCCCACTAAATCAAAATCAGAGCAGACCCACTGAAATTAATAAAGTTAGTCATAACCATTAATTTCATTGGGTCTACTCTAACATTGGATCCAGCCCATTGAACTAGCTACTAAATTAACAGCAATGGAGCACTTGTGGAGGGAGCCCTGTTGCAGAGTAGCATCTGGAATTATGGCATCCCGCTGAAGGCACTAGGGAACGAGGCCGCTCTGCATTAGTGGGGCAAGTCAGAAGGGACGTGCTCTTAGTGAAGCAAGAGAGGTGCTATGTTAAAGGGTAGATGGTAAGATGGAGGCTTAAAATGCCATCTATATTTTTCTTTAAAACCCAGCATTAAGACAGCCACCTGCAGCACCCTCTACTCCTACATATAGTAGTCTGCTCATGTGGGGTTTCCTGCTACCAACACCCTGATAGCAGCAATACTGAGAGCAGAAAGCCTCACTCATGAGTTGATAAGAAACCAGATGGGTTGGCTCCTTAAAATCCAAGTTAAACTCAAGCTTTGATTGATTTACCCAGGCAAGAACCAGCATACAGTGGTACCTCGGGTTACATACGCTTCAGGTTACAGACTCTGCTAACCCAGAAATATTACCTTGGGTTAAGAACTTTACTTCAGGATGAGAACAGAAATCGCGCAGCGGTGGCGCGGCAGTAGCTAAAGTGGTGCTTCAGGTTAAGAACCGTTTCAGGTTGAGAACAGACCTCCAGAACGAATTAAGTACTTAACCCGAGGTACCACTGTACCTGCTTACACAAATAACGTGCTCAATTTGCTCCTTGGTGTAAAAACATTACATGAACCCGCCCCCCAAAATTAAGCAATGGTTCCACAAGATTTGGGAGAGAGTAGTCCTATAATAAGTAATCCATCAGGTCCAGGTTATATGGCACTGTTCTTATTTATAATTTTCTGAAAGACTGAATATCAACTGAGAAAAGTGTCAGCACATTATAAAGCAGGCTTCCTCAAACTCAACCCTCCAGATGTTTTCAGACTACAATTCCCATCATCCCTGACTACTGGCCCTGCTAGCTAGGGATCCTGGGAGTTGTAGGCCAAAAACATCTGGAGGGCCGAGTTTGAGGAAGCCTGTTATAAAGCAATGGTAATAACTGTAAAGGGGGATGCGGGTGGTGCTGTGGGTTAAACCACAGAGCCTAGGATTTGCCGATCAGAAGGTCGGTGGTTCGAATCCCCATGACGGGATGAACTCCCGTTGCTTGGTCCCTGCTTCTGCCAACTTAGCAGTTCGAAAGCACGTTAAAGTGCAAGTAGATAAATAGGTACCGCTCCAATGGGAAGGTAAACGGCGTTTCCATGCGCTGCTCTGTTTTGCCAGAAGCGGCTTAGTCATGCTGGCCACATGACCCAGAAGCTGTACGCCGGCTCCCTCGGCCAATAAAGCGAGATGAGCGCCGCAACCTCAGAGTCGGCCACGACTGGACCTAATGGTCAGGGGTCCCTTTACCTTTTTAATAACTGTAAAAGTCTAATCCAGTTTACAGGAAAGATTTGTGGGTGTGGGTGTTATCTATCTCTTATATCTCTGAGTCCCAAAGTAGCTTACAAGTTAAAGGCAATAAAAACAGCAAGCATCAAAACACTTATGTCAATAATGTCTTTAATATTTTTTCATCTTCCCTCCCAATCCCTCTTCCTTTTCAGTGAGCCTCAGAGCAGGGACTGTCTTATGGTTGTTATCTGCAAGCCATGTTGAAAGCCATATTTGGCTTTAAAGTGTTGTTTTTATCCTTCTACGCAACTACAGTGGTACCTCGGGTTAAGTACTTAATTCGTTCCGGAGGTCCGTTCTTAACCTGAAACTGATCTTAACCTGAAGCACCACTTTAGCTAATGGGGGCTCCTGATGCCGCCGCGCTGCCGGAGCACGATTTCTGTTCTCATCCTGAAGCAAAGTTCTTAACCCGAAGCAGTATTTCTGGATTAGCAGAATCTGTAACCTGAAGCGTATGTAACCCGAGGTACCACCTTATTAAAAAGCTGGAGAAGCCCCACCCTCATTGTTTGCACTCCGCCATCCTAACACTTGAGCTCAATAAAACCTACCTGTCTGTTCTTCACTCTACATCAGGTCACAGGCCACTGGTCCATCCAATACAGCGTGGTTCACCCCCACCCCGCACCCCCGTTTCCAGACGGGGGACCAACAACTTTTCCCTACCTGGAGATGCCAGAGGCTGAACCTAGAGCCTTCTGCATGCTAAGCTGATGCTATACCAGAGAGCTCAGGCCTTTCACCTACATAGGAACCCAGATACAGAGTCAGACGATGGATCCACGTAAGCTCAGTGCTACCTGCACTGATCGGCAGCGGCTCTCCAAGGTTTCTGACAGGAGCCTCTCCCAACCCTCCTTGGAGATGTGGGGAGGGGGCAGATGCCCTGCCGCGGCCCTTCTCCTCCCACTCGCTTGAAATCTCCAGATCTACCTTGGCTCCCCCGTTTCGCGGCTCCCCCCCCCTTTCTCCCTACATATACAAACCCCGCAAGATCACGGCTTCCCCACCGCCTCCCCCCCCCCGAACCCCATCACAGCATAAGCTCCCCCTTCCCTCACCATGGCTCCGCTGGGAAGGCTCAAAGGCGGCAGCGCTTCAGCAGGCCTCCGTTGCTATGGAGCTCTGCCTGCAAGCGCAGGGCTGGGCGAGAGGAAGGGCCCGGAAGTGAGGGGGCGGGTCCTAGAGAGCCGTCATGCTCAGAGTTCTGCGCCTGCCTGTTTTCAGCCTCCCCATCAGGGCGCTTTCGCTTGCTTTGCAAGGAGGGAAAACTGTGCTTATTTAGGGAGCAACAGAGCTGTAATAGCAGGAGCGGCGCGAGCTTTTTTGTTGCAGTTTTGCCTTTTCCCTTAAATCGGTCCTGAAATTCTCTTTTTTCTTTTTGGAAAGGGAAATGTTTTAGCGCGCTGTTCTATTTCCCCCCTTCCTTCCCTCTCTCCCTCGTCTGCTTTCTCCTTTCCCTTACGGGGAGGAAAAACAGCCTAGAAAATGGACTTGTTCTCCTCTCTCGCGTGAAAAAACAAACTTCCTTGCTAGGAAGCCTCCGTGTAAAACAAAACAAAACAAAACAAAAGCACCTACAGTGGTTCCTCCAGTCGCAGGAGCGGGAGAAGCGGGGCTCCTCCGTGGAGCAGCCTTGAGACTTCCCTTCCCTCTCCCGGACAGAGACGCTTGCTTAGAAGTTAAGAGGGGGTGGAAATTGCCATGCCTTTGAAGCCCCGTTTGCTCCATTCTTTGTTTGTTTGTCCTTCCCTTCCCCTTCTCTCTGTTGTCTGTCTCTACTATTTTCTCCTCCTCACCCTTGAACTCTTCTCAATTCTCCCCTCCTCCCTTTGTTTTTTCGCACATCCGTTTCCCCAAGCCTAAACATCATTATTTGCTGCTGCTTCGTTTTTTCTTCCCTCGCACCCACCCCCACTGGCAGAAAAAAAAAGGGGGGTGTTTTTGTTTTTATTTACTGGTGGTGTTTATGTTATTGGTTCCCCTAAATAGCTTCCCTGTTCCCTCCATGTTAAAAATGAAAATAAATAAAGGAGGCTAGCTCTTTGCTTGCTTGCCCCCCCCCCTTCCATAAAAAAGTAGGATTGGGGCTTTCAAGGGGCATCTTCTGTGTGGCCCTCTGGGTTAAACCACAAAGCCTAGGTTCAAATCCCCGCAATGGGGTGAGCTCCCATTGCTCAGTCCCAGCTCCTGTCAACCTAGCAGTTCGAAAGCACGTCAAAGTGCAAGTAGATAAATAGGTACCACTCCGGCGGGAAGGTAAGCGGCGTTTCTGTGCGCTGCTCTGGTTCGCCAGAAGCGGCTTAGTCATGCTCGGCCAATAAAGCGAGATGAGCGCCGCAACCCCAGAGTCGTTAGCAACTGGACCTACTCTGTGTTGCAATAGGGGTTAATGGAGGGGGACGATTTAACTGACTGCCTTATGCTCTCTTAACTTGAGGCTGCTTGAGTTGAGGTACCTCCATTGCAGGGGCTTGGACTAGATGACCCTCTGAGGTCTCTTCCTAATCTGTGATTCTGTGATCATCTCACAGTAGGCTCAAACTCCGCTTCCAACTCTGCCCTCAGCTTTCTATCTTTCTTTCTCTCCTCCTCCTCGACTTCTCAAGACAGCAAAACAGTTTTTCTGCACTGCTAGGATGCTTCCCATTTCCCTCATTTCACCTTTAAAGCAGCTCCTGGGGGGGGGGACTACACCTTCAAAAGTTAGGAGTGCCTCAAAAATGGGAGAGAGCTCTGTCAAGGCTTGAGGCAAAACACTGGATGGGATAGATGGGATGGGATGGAGGGGGAGCTTCTGACAGGACACTGCAACCCTCACCAAAATCTATTCAGAAGTGAATCCCATTCACTTCAGTGGGACTCACTGCCAAGTAAGTCAATCTAGGATTGTAGGTTTTGAAGATAGGAAGTGGGGAAAGCAAACCAGGGAGGCAGTGAAGAAAGAAAAATGGGGGAGACACTAAGACTGAAGTAGCCCTTGTGTGCTCTTGTGGATTCATGACAACTGAAACTGCCATCTTGACTGAAGGTGGAAGAAGCAGGGGGGATCAAACAGCTAGTGAAGGCTAGTGAAGCTGATGGACTACATGGAGTTGGCGGAAATGACTGGCAGAATCCGAGACCAGGGAGAAGAGTCGGTAGAAGAAGACTGGAAAAAATTTAAAGTATATCTACAGAAATATTGTAAAATTAATGAATGTTAGAAGGATGCTGGAAAGAAGTTATATGGCTTTAGCAGAAATGTTATAAAGAATTAAGTAAGTATAGATTGATAATGGGTAAAGGTGTAAAATGTAAAGCTAAATTGCGTTAAGACAAATTATGGAGCTAAATTTGAGAAAGAGGGAAAGGACTTGCTGAAACAACTAATTGAACTAGAATACAAAAAAGGGAGGTGTGAGGAAGTAAAGGAAATAAGTAAATGAAAGATAAGGACATGAAAATACTGGTTCTTTTATTTTTTAAATGTTTTTGCCTCTTAAATGTTTTTCTTTTTTCTTTTTTAATGTTTTGATGTACTGTTGGTGTTTTTTCTTAATGTATTTTTTCTTTTTTCTTTTATTTTTGAAACTTTGTAACCTTTTATTGTGTGCTTTTCTTTTTTCTGTATCTGTTAAACTTTAATAAATATCTTTTAAAAAAAACAACAGCTAGTGAAGGGTGAGTATTAGGCATCTGAAGTCACAGTGCAAGCCTAGCCATGTTTACTAGCGGGCGGGCGGGGGGGGGGGGGTAACGGGACCTCGGGGTAACTGAGTTACCTTACCTTAAAACATTTAAATTATATACAGGGTGAGTCCTTTAAAAGAGGCCCTGTGAGTACACATGTTCCATGGGGCCTCTTTTAAAAGACTCACCCTGTATATTGTATGGAACAGATATACACTCAATGCCCAAGGCAAAAATCCACCTGTATCTCTAATCAATAAAGTTGTTGGCATTTCTTACCCAGATCATTGTCTGCTTGTGTTTATTAATCACATCTTATATTTAGCCACTGCCTGGAGTGTGGGTTTCTACCACTACAACTGGGCCCAGAATCAATCAATATCTATGGCTTTAGCAACTAATCCACACCTAATGACCCACCTAAGTGGTACTCAGGATATCACTCAAGAAATCACTCAAGATATCCCTCAAGTAATTAAGGAACAAAAGAAGAAAAGGCACACTAACCTGGGAACTTCCTCTCTGCCCAGAACATTGGAGGCTATACACCACACCCCCTCAACAGTATTTATAGGAACTCAAACACTGAGATCCTGCTCTGTTCCAGTAACAAGAAGCCGAAAGCACCAGCCTGAAGATGACGAGTGAGACCTCGTCGAAACGTCGCCTAGACACCCCAACTTTTACACGGGAAGACACCCGAGGACACCAAAACCTGCAATCAATATCTATCTATCTATCATCTCATGGTAAGTTTCCCCATCTTTTTCCCAGAAAAAAAGCACTGCTCAGAACTCACCTTGAAGCCTTCCTTTTTCTCTTATAATGGCAATGGTACCCACCTGAGAGGGACTGAAACTGAGTTCTGGCAAGTTCCAGCTGAAAAAAAGCACTGCCCAAATCTCCAGCAACCATTTTTTGGTATTGCTAGGCTTAGCAAGAATATCCATCTGTCTGTGTGTCTGTCAGCCTACCTTTATTTAAAAAATATATAAAACAGCAATCCAATTCAAAATAAAACCCAAAATATACTTAACAGCTGTTATGTAAATCATTGCTGATGGCAACTTAGGGTCCATTCCACCTTTTTTGAGGTGAGAGTCAACGTGACTTTGGTGATAAATGCTGGTTAAGCTTCTTTTGAGAATATTGGTCTTGAGATAATTTTAAGATGTCGGATTCTAGAGCAGATCCAGCCCAGTCTCTGAGTTGTGGCTTGGCCTAGCAGCACTGAAAGATGCTCCACATTGCAGTGGTGTAGGTAGGGGGGAAAGCAGCTCAGGAGCATGGGGCAATGGCCCACCGCCCAAGCCTCCCCTGAGCTGTGAAAACATCAGGAAGAGCTTTCTAGCAGGCAGAGCTGTTCGACAGTGGAAAGAACTCCCTCAGGAGGTGGTGGCTTCTCCTTCATTGGAGGTCTTAAACAGAGGCTGGATGGCCATTGGTCAGGGATGGCCTAGTTGAGATTCCTGCATTGCCCTAGAGGGTTGGCTAGATGACCCTCAGGGGTCCCTTCTAACTCTACAATTCTCTGGTGCAGGTTTGTGCAGATTTTTAGGTGAAAGTTGGTTGCAAGGGGTGCATAGGATTGCAGCCAGTCTTATGTACCGTCAACTCAGGAATAAGTCCAACTGACCATTATGAGACTCTCGGGCAAGTAGATTGCTGCTGTGCAGTCCTGCTTTTTAAATAAATGTTTTCTTTTTCAGATAATACAGAGCATGGTGAAATCACAATAAATAAAACCTTCCCTTCAGTAGTTTCAAACACTATTACAGGTTTCACATAATGTCTGTACTGCATTGTTTAGTGTGGCAGCACCTGCACTTTGGAACTCCCAGCCTATTCCAATAAAGCACGTGCCTTTGCTATACTCTTTTCAGACACCTGCTAAAAGCATTGTTTAGGCAAGCATATCCAGATGCTTAGGAAGTTGAAGTAATATTAATCTGTTTTAATATTTTAGCTTTTGTATGTTTTAAAGTAGAGTTGTTAATTTTTCTTGATTTTACTGCTGTGGTGTTCCTTTGTTTTGTAAACCACTTTGCAGGTTGGTTTTTTAAAAATAAATTTTATTAAATAAATAAACGATCAATATAAATAAAATAACAAGCCAAAACACAATCCATCCTGTAGATTTAAGTATCTGTCCAGTCGCCTACTTGTTATCAGAGGCCCAGAATCCACGTTCCTTTGTAAGAGAATATGAAATAAAGTCAAACCATTTTTGCAGGCAAATAAAATAAAATTTCAATGGGGGGGGGGGGTTTGACAAGGAATTTTCTGCACCCGGTACCACCTGACCTTGCTACGCCACTGGCTGAAACGCTGAGCCAGGGAGGCAGAAAGAGCCATGTTGAGTCGGCTCAGTGGCGTCACCCAGGCCTTGTCTCATTTCCCAAGAGATCTTCAATATTGGGATTTTTAAAAAGAGGGTTCCTAGTAATGAAGGGCAGCTCCTTGGTTAGGGAACTGCAGTAGTATCAACAGGTCCAAGTTGCAATCTACAATTCCCCTACCTCTTGAGCTGCTCCTTCTCTTTTGAATAGGGTTACTCTCCTATTCTTGCTTATCTGTTCAAAATATTATATTGCATTGGATCATTTGCTGGGTTTGATTATGGAAAAATGCAGCAGCTTGGAGCCCATAAATGGTAAGTAGGGAAAAAAGCAATCTCTGGTTATAAAGGTGCTGCTTTGGCCTGCCTTGACAAGGTGCTTTCTGGTGGTAGATTGCTAGAAATCAAGTCACACTTGCAAAACTGAGCAGAGTTCAAGGGGGTTTAGTGGTAGAGATGCACCCACAAGGGAAACTAATCAGGTATGGGGTACTGGAGGTGTGGATGTGACCGAGTCACCCTCATCAGCAGAGGCTGTGGTGCCACCCCTTCATTCAGTAACATTCACCAGCTATGGGGAGACAGGAAGGGGAGCAGGCGAGTCCACATTATCAGTGCTGCCCCACCCTGATCCATTGGGTGCAATTTAGAGGGATGCCATCCCATTTTCAGAGCCATCAGCCCCACTGGGTTTTCATCTTCTCCCAGCTACGAAGGAGAGGATTTGGAAAGGGGA